GCATTGTTATTGGTGGGACCCTCTAGTGAAAAGCCTGCCAACCCGGGCCACTTGGTTCCACTCCAGGCAAGCGGTCACCCACCCGCAGCTCTGATCATACTCCCTCCACGGACACAAGGTCCCAGTTGAGACGGTTGTCCGGCGCAAGTCGTCAACGAACAGGAAAAGAACGAAAAAAAGAGGGACAACTACCCTGTCACGTCACCTGTGAAGTCTACACGCCGTGGTTGGAGAACAAAAACAGACACAACGTTCAAAGGCAAAAAAAAAGAGCCCACCCACTCAACTGCTACATAGAACAGGGAGGGTCCCTGGGTCCAAAGACAAAACCTATCAGAACCTCGCCGACTCTTTGCAAGAGTTTGGCCCGTCTGCACTTTGATCGCAATTCTTTATTAGTTCTTGGGGGTCCGCACCATCTCGAGCAAAGTAACGGCTACTCTTCATTCAGTTCAAGCTTGCAACTAGCGTTGTGAGGATCGTGCTAAAAGCCCTCTTTTCCGACCCATCCTCGCCCCCTCGGTTCGACGATAGGGTGCAGCGCCCCTGGTCCAGATCAACCCGTCTCTTTTTGTTGCTTGAGCGCTGGCAGCAAGCACCGATCTGGGGCCCGTCTCTCGTGCAAAAAAGGCGCTTGTCGCTCCCGACCCAACCCCATCCAAGAGCACCTGTTACAACTTGCTCCCCACCGCGGCCTTTTGAGGGTTGGTCACTTTCTCGAGCACCCTCGTCTAGAAAGCCTTCAAAATAAAGAATACGCCGGTCTTTGATCTAAAGATTGCTTCAATCGTATCGTCCGCCCTGTCCCTCTAACGTGTGGACTGGCCCTTTATTTTTTTTGAGCGACCAACTGTCATCCACAACCTTTCTTTTGGGTCAGTCACATTATACGCCGGCGACCCTCGAGGTTCCTACCATATTGCTACCTTACCTATCAACCGCGTTTCTTCACGTGGGAGGCAGGTAACGAGAAACACCTTTGATGGACAGAGGTGGATCAGAATACGCGCAGTCAGGTTAGCAGCAACGAGCCATCATCTTTGCCGCGAGAGCAAACTCTGAGAACCATCTCTTTGTCAATAGATCAGTCGTCTGTCGCGACCTACGCCACCCAAGACCCGCGCTCTGGCACCATCTCGAGCAACAACACACCGCAGTCGGATTACGGTCTGACTCCGTCGTCGGCGCGTTCATCGGGGTTTCCTCCAGAGCATTTGCGCTACAGCCAATATCCCCAAGCGTCGCACCATCCAGGTGCTGTTGGAACAATGGCTCAACCAACAAGTCCGTCAAAGTCCCTGCCAGAGGGGGCACCCAATGGCACTCCAACCGCAAACTCCCACCATGTGAGGTCTAACTCGGATGTGCCTATAGATCCCTCGATTTCGCAAGCCAGTCCGACCTACCCTCCCTACTCGCCCTATCCGCAAGGACAGGACATGCAACATGCGTACCAGCCTCAGCATCCGCCCTACATGCCCCAGCGACCACCACATGAGCAGTGGGGTGGCTATCCACCACAGCATGGCATGCCCGCGCCGTATCCTCATCCTGGACCAGGCGTTCAAGGCCCGCCTCAAACATCAGCTGCGTCGCGCTCTGGTCAGGTACGTCGCGCATTGTTTTCCTGTTCTCGACATCCCCGAAACTGAGGATTCTTGGCCTAACTAATGTGTATGTGTGCAGGTGTACTCGTTTGTCCCTATCCCGGGTGCGCAGCAACATAAGCGTCCGCGCCGTAGGTACGAGGAAATTGAGCGCATGTACAAATGTGGCTGGAATGGGTGCGAAAAAGCATATGGGACACTCAATCATCTGAACGCGCACGTGACGATGCAGTCGCATGGAACCAAGAGAACTCCGGAAGGTGAGCTCCACACTCGGAGAAATACCAGATTCCCTACAGCTTTGTCAAGACTATGAGGATTTGAATCGAGCTTGGCTGATTTTTTAACCCAGAGTTCAAGGAGATCCGAAAGGAGTGGAAAGCTCGCAAGAAGGAAGAAGAAAACGCGCGCAAGGCCGAAGAAGAGCGCCAGAGAGTCGCTGCTCAGGCTAGCCAGGTGGACGGTCCGCCAGGCGATGCGCATCCCGTCCCTGGACAAGGCTATCAACAAAATGGAGCTCGACCGTCGCTTCCACCCATTGGCTACCAATCCGCCGACGGACATGCTCAAGGGCAATATGGACAGCCGCAAGGCGGTATGGTCTATCCACAAGGAAGCACCCAGATGAACAGCTATCCCAATTATCCAAATTCGCCTTATGCGCAACAAGGCCAGGTTTACCAACAACGCCAATACTAGAACGCATCCAGGGCAAGGCAGCTTGGCTCCTGCCTGGTTTGTGTGTCCTCAGCCCTCGGAGATCAGTCATCTTTTGATGATGAGCAGCGCAAGAATGCTTATGCCAAGAGCTGCATGCTTTTCACGGAATGATGCAGCACCTCATTTTTACCCAAGATACCCCTAGGTGGGAGTGGAGGAGATAATGGAAGAGCAAATGCGGACAAAGTCAAAAGTATCGTGATGAGGAAGCATGCTGGGAGGAGTTTGTCACATAGGCTGGCGGGATCCGATACTCATGAGTTTCCTTGTTTTCGTTTTCGTTTTCCTATTACCAGTTTTTTTTTCGGTTTGATGGGTTTGTCACCATTTGCACAGCGCCACGCGTTTCTCTCGAGAGGGGTGATGAACATTATGACAGATCGGCCGACTGCATGCATTTTGTTGAAGAGGACCCAGTGCATTATGAGAAACCAGGGGAATTGTTCCTATCTGCACAGGCTTCCCCGGACTCTGAAGAGCTTTTGGAAGGGGAGGGACAAAGATAAAACGATCAACAGCATGGGTTGTCAATGCGAGCGAGTCCAATGAAGTTGGGAGAGCCGGGGGGATCTGTCCAGTTGCTATTGGATTGGGAAAACCGGTGGCCTGAAACGCCGTTATTGTACATTTGATGGTACCCAGGCTCAGGCTGGATATGACTTGCGCTCCGCAACTCGTTATTAGAACAAGGAGATGGTCTTGCTGTTCGTGTTCAGACAAGAAGCAGATCAGAGATCTATTTGAGCATGAAGTGATTATGGCGAATAAACAGAGATTTTCCTTGGGTAACATTTCAATTCTGTCCTTGGTTACTGGTCTTGCAGAAAAATGTTCGCATGATCATGTTTTGTAGAGAGAGATACAGGTGAGAGTGTCGTAGGAATTAAGTTAGGCCAAGGGATCTCGAATGGTGTTGCTGGCGCGATTTTAGGCTGTCCTACCACCCAGTGGATTTCTCAAGGCGTGGCTAACAAACACATGGCAAGGTGAGGACAAAAACCTGGGGAATTCCCTGGTTCGATTTTTAGTACGCAGTCAGAGGGTTACACAACGTTGGGGGGGGACGGCCGATTGTGAGGGAACTAAGATGGCGTCCGAAATGGGCTCGCCGTTGAAGTCTAGACTGAGGCCAACAACATGCACGAAATTCACTGGTGTGAGGGTTGCGCAACCACTGAAGTCTCTTCGCTTTCCAAGCACCGGCGCAACCGCCAACGCCCGCGACGGCGCCCAGACTAGGGCTTAGAAGCTTCAGAGTTGGAGCCTGGAGGGGGTGCGTGATGGGGGTGAGGGGACCCTGCTTCAGGCCCCTAGATATCCTTATGTTGTTAACTGGAGAAGCTAGCTCAATGGTTCAATAGTGGGCAACACTACGGCTTAGTTTCTCCGGCCTTTGACGTGTCACAGGTCAAGCACAAACTACTCACCGAGCACAATCCCATCATCTGCATCTGCATCTAGATCCCGACCTTGTGGTTCATCGCTACTCTGTGCTCCCTCATCCTCCGCCGAATCCCCAAAGACCTTATTCCACGCTATTGTTTTAGCACCACACGACGAACGCAATGCGCGGGATCAGACCAACCCGAGCCAGAAGATCCCGTTGGTGCCTACGCAATGGACATCCGGCTCGACCCTCCAGTCACATCGGCGGAGATCATTGAATCAAGCGTCTTCTATCCACCACTCCAGCACATGGAAACAGGGCTCGCAAACATCCGGTAGATCAACGCCACTCGGATTCAAGCCTCGAGTCCTTTCTCCGTCGTTCTCGGATTGTGTGGCACTCGGAACCCGACCCCACTGTGGGCAAGAGAGAGCATGATGAGCTGAAAGATCGCGGGCAATATAAAACAGATACCGGAGTCAGGAAAGAGGGTTTGGAATGTCCGACCGTTTCTGGAGACCGCACCCGCAGTATGCACAAACAAAGTTTCCGCTGCAAGGGCGATTTCCAAAGTTAACCCGGATCTCCCTGTCAGTCAAAGGATGTCCGTGACCACGCGAGGCAGGGTACAGCGTTCTGGCAAAGTACTCCATACTACTACACCGACCATTCCATCCTGCAGGGCGCCAAGCTGGCGAAAATGCCACGTTGGCTGACCATGACTAAACTATGCGATCGGGACTTTACCTCGTACATGAGACGGTGTGACGCAGTCGATCGGTACCCAAGTAGCTACCTTACATGGATGGAGCCTTGAACGTCAGCCCTACATCGGATTAAGAGGACGAGGGAATCTTGAAGTGTGCCGCATCAGATGGAGACCACTGCGACTTGCTTGTCAGCTGTCCCCTGGTTAGTTCAAGGCGGATTTCTTCCGATGCATCGTTGGCGTGAGATTGCCCTTTTGACCTCGAGAACGGAGTACAGAATATGGATTGCAGACAGTTGTCTCTGACAGGCCTACTCGCATGAGCCTATTGTACCAGGTCCCTCTAAAACAACTAATTACGACCTCTTGAACAATATCGCCCTCATTTCGTAGAAGCGGCCCTTGTATGACGTATTGTACAGTTTTCGGGTAAGTTTCCTGTTGTGAAAAATTTCCAAAATCTGCCAGACAGTCTCGTTCCTAACAGTCGTTGTAAGTGAGGATCGCATTTGCACTTTTTCTCTCAATCTCTCCTTTTTTCTTCTTGCCAGATCGCCATCTTTGGCTCTCTGTTCTGATGTTCACTTGCGATGCGTGTCTGCGTCGGTCACTTTTCTCACTGGGGAGCGGCGCCGGTGCATCACACTTCTCGTCCGCATTGTCCAGTTCCTCGCTCGAGCACGCCATCAATTCCACGGTCGTCGTCTCTCGCAAACATGCAACTCTACAGTCCCTCAGAAAGGGCCATCATCGCAATGGTCTTTTCAAAGCCTTGAAAGAGGCGCGCAACGAACCGCCAATTAAGGCCAGGCCGTCGAACGCCCGCGCGAAACTCTTGGCCAAAGATGCTCAAGCACGGGAACGTAATTGGTTACAGCGTCTTGAGCCCTCGGATCGAGAGGCATATCTGAAAAAGGCTATGGAGAAGGAAGCCAGATACCTAGTGGATCCCCTGAAACTGGCACAGGGCGTCGTGGAAAAACTTCGAGACCACAACCTACAAGCCGCCTTGGAGTTGGTTCGTGCCAGTGAAAGAGCTCACAACGGCAAGGGGGTGGACAATGTTGTCAGTTGGAACCACATCATAGATTGGCTGATGGGCCAGGAGTCTCCTGGTGAGGCATGGAAGGTCTACAACGAGGTAAAATCTCAGGTTTTATCCGCAATGCTACCCCTGACTGACTCGACTCCTTCTCGCAGATGAAAAAACGAGGCCATAAGCCCGACTCGCACACTTATACGATCATGCTGAGAGGCTATCGCGACAATGTCAAGAAACCAAACGCCGTGCAACAGGCCTTGAGCGTTTACGATTCCATTTCCGCCGCCAACTCCGCAGTCACCCCCACCACTATCCATACAAATGCCATCATCAGTGTTTGCGCACGCGCGTATGATATTGATGCTATATGGAGAATTGCTGGGAGGCTTCCTGAACGTGGACCTGGTGCTCCTGACCATGTGACGTTCACCACCATACTGCAGGCCTTGAACAGCGAAGCCCAAAAAAGAGCCATAGATCGAGGGGGCAGGGAGGGTCCTGGCTTCGATCCTCAGCCGATATTTGAGCAAGTGATTGATGACGCGCGAAAGTTATGGCTCGACATCACCGCCCGCTGGAGAAGGGGGGATCTTTACTTGGACGAAGCTCTGGTCTGTGCCATGGGCAGATTGTTGATGCTCTCATCCAACCGGAGCACTCATCTGGATGTTCTGAACCTGGTCCATCAAGCTATGAACATAGGCAGAATGCCGGAGGTTTCGAATGATGATGCAGAAAATGGGACAGATGGTTCAGAGGAATCGGAATCCACTGCTGAGAGTGACCCTTCCGCCATTCTTGAAGCTTCACCCACGAGAGTGAACCGCGCGAACCTATCCTCAGGTCGACCTGGGACGGCAAGCTCGTCTGTGTATGCCACGCCTGGGAACAATACCCTTTCTATGCTTATGGAAACAACTACCGCCCTTCGAAAGCTGAAACTGGGCAAATACTATTGGGAAATTCTCACAGCCGCTGATGGTCCTTACAAGATCGTCCCTGATCACCAAAACATCATGGCTTATCTTCGGCTGCTTCGAGTTTCCCGTGCAAGCAGAGCTGCCTTGGACCTGCTTCGCGCTCCACGACCCGATGATGTACAAAACAAACTCATGGTACGTGGAACCTTCGTCATTGCCATGAGCACCTGTCTACGAGACAAGAAGAATCCAAATGTCTTTGAGACAGCGAGTCGGATTATGGATCTGATGCAAGAGAGCACGCAAGATACCGGGGATGACCACGATGGCCACGGAAAAGAACCTCAAGGCCAGAAGCTCAGATTCTCCCCCAAAGTCCTCCGGATGTATCTGGAAGTTGCGATGGCGACCACCAAAGGAATCGGCGCGGGCCCGCTCGAGAAGACCAGGAATGGAGATCTGGATTTCGAGCGAGATCCTAGTAAAAACCACACCTTAAGAGCGCTGCGGCGACTCGGTCCAGATGTGGTCAACGTCAGGCAACTGATCAAATCGCACTTGGTCGAACTTGAACAGCAAGCTGCCGCGAAAGGACGTACGATCAGAGTCAAGAAATTGCTTGAGAAGCGCCAGATTACACCGTACAGTGTCACCGAAAACATTGGCGAACTGGTCGAATTGTTGCGGACCATGATCAGTGCGATCGACAAGATCATTCTGGTCAACGAGCGCTTGGAGGATGAAGGCATGGGGCCACTGGATAAAGCCATCTTGAATGAGTGTTGGTTGCAGAAACGAAAGCTGTCGGCTTTTGTCTCCAGGGCTGCGAATGTGGTCACGGACCCTAAAGGACCTGGAGAGCTGAAGGCGCGGCGTGTAAACGAAAGGGGTCAGCCGTTAGCAAGCAGGAATGGAGAAACCTCCGAGGGGGACGGAGCTGCTTGGTCCGAAGACGCGGAGGTGGCAGGCGACGACATGGTGGACGAGGATTTCGATGCCGGCATGACTTCTACCAACCCGCGCGTAAGACTCGTCAGCGATATCAAGGCTGCCCAGGCCAAGCACGCCAAATCCAAAGAAGAAAGAGGTCTCTCCCGACGACAGAAACTCGAATTGATCAAGGAAGAGCAAATCCGCGCTCAGTTTCCGACCAGTGTCTTGAGGGAGCGGCAGAGCATCAGAGAGCGGACACGAACCAGGTGGAACGATACGGAGACTGGGCCAGCATCGACTAGCCAGAGAAGCCGTGCTGCTGCGGCGGGATTTGCTCGAAAGGCACCAGTCTGGAAAACAAGGCAGATGGAGATCAAAGAGATGAGAAGAGAGAAAAGACAGGCCAAGGAGCAGGCCAGGGAAGCTCATGAGAGTAGCAGAGCGAGGGAGAGGGAGACGTATAGGGGCTGGGGAGGTGGGTTTCAAGACATGTTGAAAGAGCACGGAAGGGCTGATAGAGCTGGGATTGTGGAACTAGGTCCGTGAGTATCATGGCCCAAGTGAGATGTGATTGAACCATGTACGATAGATACACATAGCCTCAGGAGTGTGGCGATGAGGCATGGAGGGAATTTGCTTTGGTGTACGGTGCCTTCTCGGATAAAAGAAGGAAGGATTGGCTCAAAGGAAAACAAAATCAAAGAATCCTCCACCCCTAATCAATACAAGAATCGTACAAGTGCTCACTCACTCACTCACTTACTCACTCGTACACAAGTAGTAGCAGCAGCAGAGAGAATCTCCGAACAGCGCAATTGGGCGTTTCGTTTTGGCATATCCCGACAGATGGCATTTCGCAGCGCTCCGAACCCTGTACTCGTGTGAGTTATTTCCGACCACGCCCTCGACATCCTACCAGCCCATGGTGCCTGAGGCTGACATGTGGCCATGATCTGTAGTTCGCAGGAGCATAAGTGATATGATCATGGACCCAGCGCCGGGTACTGGTACATAGGGGATAGGACCCTGTCTGCCTGTCACGTCCAATGACAGCCAAGGTTATCTATTGGGTGAGGGAAGACGAGTATCGATGGACTTGGCTTTGAATCTTGTTGCGTGTACTCGGGACCTACAAGTACCATCTTATCACGGAGTTAATATGTATATCGACGAGTACGAGGTACTTGGTACTGATGTGCGCAAGGTGCCGCAGCCACAGACTTTAGTGCCCAACTAAGAGTCGGTACTCCGTAGGTGACCATGCCTTGCATAATATCTACCTAAGCATGTAGTTGCTGATGGGGCATTTGCATCCAAGGGTCAAGCGGACAGGTGGGGTACCAAGCCTGCATGAGGTGCAGGGGTTCGCCGGGAGAAAGATTACCGAGAGATCCCAGGCTATACTCGCTGACTCGGTACCTCGTAATAATTAGTGACAAGCTGCACATGTGGAAAACAGAAGAAAAAAGAAACATGTAGCCACCAATCAAAAAAGTACCACATTCCTCCTTCACCACTTGCTCTGTTTGACATCTCCATCCAAGCTTCTCTGTCTGCTCGCCATGCGACATGGGGGCTTTCGTCAACTCCGATTTGACCGATTAAAGTCCCGTCCGTGCTTGTGTGTCCTGCCCAGACACACTTCTAGCCTGCGTCCATCATGTCTGTTACTTGGGCATACCTACCGAGAAGCTGTTTCAAGTACCCGACCCTTCAGCCATGCCTCTACAAAGGCCGATCAGAGCCCGTCGTCCGTCCCTGCCCGGAAGTGGTCGACACCCCTGGCGAAGACAATCGCGCAGGCCATTGAGGTGAGGGTTTCCCACTACCCCATACCATTGCGTCTTGGTCTGAACTAACCCAAGGCCGTACAAAATAGGTGACGGGACCCATCTCGATCGCATCCTACATGCGCCAATGCTTGACAAATCCTGACGGAGGCTACTACACTACGAGTCGCCCATCAGCCGAAGACGCAGACCAGTTCGGCGCAGCCGGCGACTTTATCACCTCCCCCGAGATATCGCAAGTCTTTGGTGAGCTTGTGGGGATATGGTTCATGACGGAATGGATGGCCCAAGGGCGTCCAACCCAAGGGGTTCAGTTCATTGAGATGGGCCCTGGACGAGGAACACTCATGAGTGACATTCTCCGGACGATCGGACAGTTCAAGACTTTTGCGAGGGCTATATCGGCGGTGTGGATGGTTGAAGCAGGAGAGGGGTTGCGGAGGAAACAAAAAGATTTACTATGTGGAGAAGATGCTGACATGAAGGAAGTTGCGGATGAGACGGGCAAGAATGTCTGGTGGGAAGCAACAAGCACTCAAGGGATCCCCGTGAGATGGGTCGAGGATATTGCGCTGCTGCCAGCCCAAGCTCACGGTGCAGGCGATGAGATGCCCTTCATCATCGCACATGAGTTCTTCGATGCTCTCCCCATCCACGCGTTTGAGTCTGTTGCTCCCCAACCCGAAGAGGCACAGGAGCAAGATACCGGGGCCCAGCTTCTCACCGAAAGTGGTCAACCACCGATTGCGAAGCCGTCTATGGCCAGCAAACTCCCACAGTGGCGGGAACTACTCGTTGCGCCCACTACGCCGAAACTCACAACGTTACTCTCCGCCGAACCCGAGAAGTCGTCAAGTGACAGAGATCCTGAGCCGGACTTCCAGCTCACCCTGGCAAAGGCGAGCACTCCTTCATCGCTCGTCATACCCGAACGACCTCGCTATCGACCCCTCAAAGCTCAAGTATCGTCGCGCGTCGAGGTATCACCGGAGAGTTCTCGATACATCCAAGACTTTGCGCGCCGGATTGGCGGAAATGTGGTGCCTCCGGCCAAACTTGCTAGGGGACAGCCCAAGCAGGGCCTGGCCGATGTACCGCAACGAAAACCCGCAGGGGCGGCACTGATAATCGACTACGGGCCCCTGGACACGGTCCCAGTCAACTCGCTGCGCGCGATCCGCAAACACAAGATCATCTCCCCTTTTGTCTATGCCGGCGATGCGGATATCAGTGCGGACGTGGACTTTGGGGCTCTTGCAGACGCGGCTCTGGAAGCCAGTCCGGGCGTAGAGGTCCACGGACCGGTCGAGCAGGGGACTTGGTTGATGCAGTTAGGGATCAAAGAGAGGGCGGAGAGACTCGTGAAGGAGCTGGACAAGAAAGCCGGCACAACAGGGGCGGAAGAGGCGGTGGAGAAACGGAGGAGAGAGGCTGAAATGGGCTGGAGGAGACTGGTCGAAGGCGGACCCAAGGGCATGGGCAAGGCGTACAAGGTCATGACGATCCTGCCGGAGAACGGCGGGAGAAGAAGGCCAGTTGGCTTTGGGGGGAGTGTGGTTCCCGGATGAATTTTTGTTTTATCTGCCTTCCGGCCTTTTATCACGACCTCCTTCTCTCTGTCATCTCGTGGGCGAACAAAAGAGACGAAACGCGTCGGGATGGGGACAACGGTCTGTCTGTATTCTATGTAGAACTGTACCACCACCATATACCTATATCCATATCGTGCTGTTCTTTTTACCAGCGCAATCAGGAGCAACGGAACTCCCGACTACTTTGAAAGGCGTCCAGCTCAGACCTGCGCTGCCGTCTGCCTTCTTTGCGGGGGGTTCTTCATGCTTCATCGGCGGCGGCGGCGTCGTCGTCGTCGTCAGGGTGTGCGTCGAAATCCCAAAAACGGACTTCCATCTCGGTGGACCGGACGAAGACGGCGATCAGCTCCTCGATGCGCGAGGGCGATTGCTTGACGATGTGGGTTTCGATGAGTTCTGTGCGCGCGCGGGGATCAAAGGTCCGGGCGGGGTTAGTATCCGATATGATACGACGTGATGTGATGTGATGGGTGCGGTGTGAGGCGAGGCGAGGCGAGGCAAGGCTAGGTGGTTTGATAGTAGTGTAGTGGTGATAGTGACTTGTGGGCTATTAGGGGAAGAAAAGAAACAAGGAGTCTGGAGAGTGTAGAGTAGAAGGATGGGAGGGACGTATAAAGGACGGTGAAAAGATCCGGAACGAACCAACCGAGAAGACGACGGGAAGAAGAGTGAAAGGGGGAAATAAGCCAAAGGGGGTGGAAAAAAAAAAGAATATCAAAAAAAACTCACCCCTCCCAAGCCTCACAGCCTCCTGGTAGTCGTCGGCGACGTAGTTCTCGACCCACCTCCAGTAGCGGTTGCCCTTGTCGGTGGGGACGCTCTCGCGCTCGCGGTAGAGGCGCGCGGCGGTGACGCCGTAGCCGAGCAGACACGGCGCCAGGGACATCTGCAGGGCGAGCCAGTCCTGGCTGGCGCCGACGTCGAGACAGTAGCGGCTGTAGGCGACGCAGGCGGGCGACTCCTTTGTGCGGGAGGGGTCCTCGAGGCGCGCGCGCGAGATGCCAAACTCGGCGCAGTACGACAGGTGCAGCTCCATCTCGCGCTGGATGTGGAGGATGATGTTGGCGCTGGCCGCCACGGCCGCCATGCCCTGCGACTTGTACGCCGCCAGCGCGTGCGACCGCGCAAAGTGCGTCAGGTACAGGTAGTCCTGCACCAGGTAGTTCTTGAACAGCCGCTCCGGCAGCGTGCCCCGCGCCATGGCCGTCGCGAACGGGTGGTGCGTGAACGCCTCCCAGCTGCGTGCCACGCGTGGGTGTGTGAGCAGGTACGTGTCGATGAAGTGGCCCGGCGAGAAGGGCAGGATCTGGAGGCTGTGGAAGTGGTTGATCGGGCCCGAGCCCTTGCCTATCGACGAGTCAGCCAGCTTGATCCCCGTCGTCACGTACTGCACCGCGAGCCGCGTGGCTCTTGCGAGAGACGCCGTCCGTGATTTGGACTTGTCGAGCGCCAGGTTGGACGCGATGGCGCTGGCCAGCGAGCAGCCCGTCCCGTGGGTGTTTTTGGACGCCAGGTACTGCGACTCGATGACGGTGTAGTCGTTGCCGTCGTACAGGATGTCGACCGTGTACGCCTTGTCTTCGTCGCGCGTGGCCTTGACGTAGTTCTTGGTCAGGGGCATGTGGCCACCCTTGAGCAACACGGCCTTTGGCCCCAGTTGATGGACCATCTTCGCGAGGGTCTTCAGGTCATCCAGACCGGAGGGGGACTTGTAGTGGACGTCGGCGTCGCGCAAGAGCAGCGTCGCTTCGGGGATGTTGGGCGTGAGGAGCGTCGATATGGGCAGAAGCCTTTCGCGCAGGTTCCTCACGGCATCGCCCGGCAGCAGTTGCGCACCGCTGGTAGAGACCATGACCTGTGCGAATCATGAGATTCGGCGACCGTGTGAAAAACAGGGCGTCAGAGCGCATCATACAGGATCGACAATAATGGTGGAAACCTCGTGGCGTTGAAGCGCTTCGGTGACCACCTTGATGGTTTCCGCTGAGCCGAGCATGCCTTTTTTTTCCCCCCATCAAGTCTCAGCCACCTGTTCTGCATAGTCTTGACGGCGTAGCGTATTCGTATAAGCCCTTACCGATCTTGACAGCATCACAGGCAATGTCGGTTAAACAAGCATCGATCTGCTTGCCCACAAAGGCCGGTGGTGTGATGTGGATGTCCTGCACACCCAGCGTATTCTGAGCCGTCAAGGCTGTTGTGGCTGTCATCCCATAGCAGCCATGAGCCGTAAGGACCCTCTGGTCTGCTTCAAGCCCACTGGCAGAGGAGTCCTTGTGTCAGAGCACGGCGCAGGGACGGACGTGGGAAAGAACTCACGCTCCACCAGAGCTGTCGGAGCCTGCAATGACCAAAACTCGGGGGATGGTCATCTTGAACCCAAGTCTACTATCATCGGACAAAGCGATAGAGGACCGGTGAACGAACCAGAAGTCTGACAGGGCAAACACAATCTAACAGATGGACCTGGTCTAATGGGCAGGTCTCGAGAAGACGTTGAGTCAAGTATCGTTAAAAGATTGTCGTTGCTCTGGAGCCAATCAAAGACCAAGAACCAAGGCTGTATCTCCACCACAGCAGAAGCCATCTCCGCTGGCATCACTCAGCCGTGACAGTCATTCCTAGAGGGTCAGAGGCCATATTAATACTTGAATGGCGCGCTCAGTGGCATTAATTGATGGTGGATTGTCGTATCTCATCTGGTCAACGAATGAACATCCTACAAACCAATATCCAAACATCACTTCAAGGCAAAGCTGAACAGCGTATCCATCTCCACCCATTGCCGCCCACATTTCTTCAGATATCCATCCACAACCGCCTTGATCCCCTCGAATGCGTCCTTGTTCGTCTCCGCAAGCACCATGATCCGATCCTTCTTCTGCGCGTATTCCTTTTCTGATCGGGCCTTGTTCTTGGCCTTCTCAATATCAAACAATGCCGCAAAGTACAACATTTGGTTGTACAGCTTCTTTTCCGAATATTCATATGACATCCGTCCGAGACAACCTTCAGCACGCCCATTCGGACCCAGGCATCGATGTCCATACACTGACATCTGCCGGGTTCGGTTGCCGCAGGATGGATCGTCGCAGACCAACCAGCCCTCATAGTAGGCAGACGTCTGCGCTCGAATTTGTGACTCCAGCTGCATGACAATCCTCAATCGTGGAAAGAGCTTCTTGCAATCGGCGTTGCCACATGAAATACCCTCGGGTGTGCATGAGTCTGTTGAATCGCAGATTCCTTCGAAAATTGTGGTCTGTTTGCACTCTCGACACTTCAGGCTGAGCCGCGCAGCGTCCTGAAAGCGGACGCTGTCGGGAATTTGCGATTCAAGAGGGAAAATCTCGGTGCTTCGTTGGCTTGCCCCGTTCGAACTGTTGATCTGATATTTGCGAACATCCAGACCCAAGCATTCAGCCAGTCTGACCGAATCAGTCCCAGGGATGGGCGCGCACAGTCTTTCAATAGGCGGGAAGATCTGTTTATGGAGATAGTATTCGACATCGGGAACCAAGCCAGAATCTGTTTTCTGAACATCTTGGGGGGTGTAAGATCGCTTCGGCGCTGGGAGGCCCTTTGTCTCTTCGTCTCCCATTGTTACAATGTAGGACATGACGTCGTTGACCCGAACTGGTTTGCCTCGACTGATCTCACGAAGGGCAACTTGCACCTGAGGCATCGAATCCGCGTTGGGATATTCCGTTGGGTTTTTCCCCAGTTTCTGGGAGAATCAGCAATGTCTTACAAAAAGGGATCCAGCAAGACTTACCGTATAGATGACATATTTCTGTACGGGAATGGCATTTTCCCTCATCTTGCTCGACAACTCCCGAAGATATTCATGGATTTTCTCGAGGACAACCTCCGAATCTTCCCCGGAGAGGATCTCGTTCAAAAGTTTCTGAGACGCCTCCTTGGACAAGGCGCAGTATTCTCTTCTCTTCATGTCAAGACCTTTGACTTCCAGCTTCTCAACATACTTGCCATCTATCTCGGCCATGTTAATAGCGGCATACTTCTTTTTGGCATGCAGCAACAAGCGTCGGAAAACATTGTCGATGTCAATCTCCAATAGTTTGTATCTTTCATTGACCGAGCGCTTGAACTCTAGCCCAACGCTCAGGGCCTGGGCGATATTGTCTGCATTGGTGTTGATCATGACGGAATCGGTATCACCATAGATGACCTGCAGTTGGTTGCTTTCTGCGAGGTCCTTGGTGCTTCTCAGAATCTCTCTACCTTTGAAGGTGGTGAGCATGGCTAGCGGCCGTGCATAGAACCGGGATTGGGTATAACCGAGACACCCATACATGGAGTTGGCTGTGAGTTTCAATGCCATCTGCTTGGTATCCCAGAGTGCCTGTTGTTCTGCAGAGGCTCGTTTGTCCTTCATCAGCTTCTTGACTTCCCGACGGCGTGTAACAAGGTTGGCGATAAGTTTTGGTAAGATTCCTTGTGGTTGATCGACCGGCACCTCTGGCACCTTCTCCTCGTTCTCATTTTCGGCGGTACTTGACCGATCAACAGTCGTGAAGCAGATGTTGTACTCTTGGATGATGCTGGGATACAAACTGTTGAAGTCCATGACAAGGATGAACTTGTCGTACAGGCCCTTTTCTGGCTCGAAGACCAGCCCACCTTTGTACTTGTCCTTCTTTTTGGTGTCGGCTCCATCATCTTCGTCATCATTCTCCTGCGCCTGTTTTGCCCGGCCTTTACCAAATTCCTTATCGGGACAGATGTATTTATTGCGGTAGAACTCGTGCAGCAAAATGTACTCATTTCGTTCAGCTCGTGTGCCGCTCAGGGTTCGAGCCCACGAGTTCCCAGCAAGCTCTGTTAGCACTTTGGTCAGTGGCAGCATTTGCAACTTCAAAGCAAGCGCCGCGATGAAAAAGGTGTCAGCGTGGCAGTGAGTCACGTAATTGAGCAGCCCATCGCGAGTGGCTGCCCACGTCTTCAGGGCTGCTTCATTGTCCAGCTCACGGCGGCGGTTGTCGGGCCCAAGGTAGAGGTCGCACATCTCTGTCAAGCTCCATTGTTGACATTTGGTCATCAACGACTTGCCCATGTCGTTTGCCAGATCGCACATGAGTCGTCCCGCGAGAAGCTGTCGCTCTGCAAAAAATGTGGCACCTCTCCCAAAGGACTTGGGCCACTCTCCTCGTTTCAATCTACCGATCCGGTGCCAGCCTGGCGTCTTCTTCTCTTTCAGGCGACTCAGAAGAATACTATAGTCGACTTCTTGAAGCTGATGGCCGATCAGAACATCGGGGTCGACCCTTTCGAAAAGTGCCAGGAACTTGCTGAGCAGAAATTGTTCCGTCTTCTCAAGCATAAATGTGTCGTTTCGCTTTTTGGTTTCAGCTTCAAAGCCAACCGGGTAAGCAGATCCGGATGGTCGCATCACTGTAAAGGTCCGAGAGGGCATTTCTTCCGGAGGAGTGGTGTCGGTAAGAGAGACATTCTCGTAGACGCGAGCACTCGCAACTAAAATTTCCTGCTTATTCTCCTTGACATTGAGTTGTGTCCGGAACGCCAAAGACATCAATGTAAGGCGTGGAGCCTCGAGCTGCTCGGAGTTGCTCAAGACAGTGATGTTGGCCGGTTTGGTGACAGCACATTCCAATTTGCACCAAGAAGCGTTATTGACAGCGCTAAAGTCGGCATCTTCAATGTTCAACCAACATGGCCCCATGATGTTCTTCCACAGCACAAACTGTTCAAACAAGGCCGTGTTTGTGCCAAAGACCCGGGAGAACGTCTCGCCTTTCAGGTCCATCGGGAGAGGGCTCTTGTCGTAGGGGTAGAGAAGCTTGAGGTATTCTGCTTCTTTCGGGACATCAGATAGTTCAAATGCGTACTTTCGTGTGCACGGTTTGACTTTTCTGGTGGACACCTTCATTTTGGACATCAACGAGTCGACTTCACCGTATACATCATCCATCTCAACTTCTTCGCTAGTTTCCTGGCCATTGACAACCCGATACTTTCTCGGAAGGAAGAAGAGCTTGCGGAGAATGTTGTCAACCTTGACGAATGCGCTGCGATACTGTCCGCTGGTCTTATCCTTGACCTTCCCAAAGAGACAAAGACTGCCATTGACTTCCGTGTAGTCGAGCCAGAACATACGCAGACTGCCATCCTCTTCAACAGCGTCTTGAGGCTTCATCTTGCCGAAGGTTCGAATTATTTCCGAAGACGGACTACTTTGGATATTGAGTTTGCTGGTGATCTTGTTCCATGAAGAGGCATCTACTTCACTGACTGGCGGCAACGGCGGAGAAGAGCTCTGTGGTGTTGGAAGTTGTGGAGACTTGATTTTTGGCGGTGGCCTGCTGCCAGTCATGTTGATACTGGTTGATTGAGCGGCTTCATACCCAACAACTTGAGCAACGTCCATGATATCCTCATCTTCGTCCTCCTCTTTGATCTGCACTTTTGTCTTCCGTTCAACAGCCTTGACGACTGGAGAGGAAGGAAGAGGATCACTCATGATATTGTCGTCATCAAATGTCGGCACATGGTCGTCCTCTTCTTGTACAGACTGCGGAGGTGGAGTGTTGACTAGCTGGGTCGGCGGTCCTTGGTATCTCTGTCGAGGCTGTTCGCGAGAAGGAGGGGGGGAGAGCACCCTGACTTTGCGTCGATTGTCGGATTTGACTGTTTTTGGCGTATATGTGCGGGTAGAGAGGATATTGGCGTCGACTTCTCCGAGGAGATCAGCCATGAAAGCTTCGTCTTCGGCAGTGGTTTGGATCTGGAGCAGTCAGACTCGGCCGGACAAATTTGAGAGAAGAGGCATACCTTGGGTTTGGGAGCTGCTGCGACAGGCCCATTGTTGAAGTAGTTGAGAATCTTGTGGTTGGTGCGGTCTTCTTTCTCGCGATCGTCCTCACGTTTTCGCTTTGCAGCTTTTCCTTTCAATGGAAGCTCCTCGGCATCGTCACTACTGTAGTATTGCCGCTCGTTCTGCCATTCTTCTCGACCGTCGTCTGCATAACCCTCCCCATTGTCGTCAACAACGAAGTCATCCTTGTCGAGGCGACTGCGCACGACTTTCTTGTAGCCATCTTCATCGACTTCATCGTATATGGCACCTTGATCCTCGACCTGGTAGGAAGCGAGTCGTGTCTTGCCGGAAGCTCGCTGAGCTCGGAGCTGAGCAAGTGCTGAACGATGCGACATTGTGCAAGCTGGAACAGCTGCAACAATGATGCCACGAAGGGTGAAGAGACAGCTGATTGAGATTGTGAAGGAGTGATGGTGGTGAATGGGACGTGAATGGGACATTAATCGTCCAAGTGACAGACAATCGCGTGTAATCACGCTTCGCGTCTCCTACGCGTGGTGCGCGGGTTTCCGC